ATTCACACAAAATTACTTGAACGATTACTTTGTTTGGAACTTGAAAGGGGGCACGTAGAAAGCATGGCGTAGGTTAAAGAGGGAATATATTATTCTTATAGCAACATTTAAAAGATTTGTTCAGAGGAGTAGTAAAACATAAATACTGTGGTTGAAAATGGCCGACGACGAGTATGAAATACAAGACCAAATGATGAAAGTAAGAGGAAAGTCAGGAAGACGCTGAAGTGCGATTTTAAGTCTGGCAAGGCATTGAGTAAGTAATTCAGTAACCAGTGATGACAAAGAGGTAAACCTGAGTAATAAGTGTCCTCTCCCTTCCAAATAAGCGCAGTCGTTACTTCTGTCCTTAATTGAAACCTAAATACAGGGCTGCAGGTAGCCCCGTTCGGATCAGTGTTTATGACAGAGTGAATTTCTTTTTTTGATAATGTTATGGTTGGATTGTGAATACACAGAATCCTCAGTGAATCAACTCCATTAACCCGAACCCTTCTCGAGAAGTCACCAGTCGCTCAGATATTCCATAATTTCCTAACTTTTATGGAACCCGGAGGTTCGTTGCCGTGTTCACAACAGTCTACCACTGGTCCCTATTCTGAGCCAGATGAATCCAGTCAGCCATATATAAAATCCCATCCTGTTTCTCAGAAGTGCATATTAATATTTTCCCACCTACGTCTAGGTCGTTCTAGTGGCCCCTTTCCTTTTGACTTTCTCACAGACTACCTTTATGCGTTCCTCCCGCAGAACCTTTGTCCTGCAAAATAAGGTTGGGAAGATGTAATCCATACTGAAGTACATTGCGTCATTGGCATAATACCTCTTTATGGAAGTATATTTCTGTGATATCGATCTTAATGGGAACCGGAAATTACCCTACAGCTTTCTGTGAGGTCTTCTAATGCCAGACCTCAACAAATCTCTCCAACGATTCTCGAGCTGAAAAATGCGGATCGCCGGGCAGACACATCCGGACACATCTCACCTGTAGGGTGTGTTCGTTCAGTTTACGCACGTGGTGCAGAGAGCACGGAATAAATGAATGATAGTGCTTCCGGGTGAAAGAACTGATTCTATTCACAGTCGTGGCTGTCTTAAATCGAACGATTCTGTTGGCGGTTTTATTTAAATTTCTGTACAAAAAATATATTGTCAGTAAATATTGTAATGTGTAAATTAAATGGTAAAGCTATCCCTGGAAGAGGCCACGGAGGCCCATACCATTGTGAGTCGTCGAGGTTACTACTTCATCCAGACAGTCGGCTCACAGATGGCGGTGAGGTCAACCTTACGCGCCGGCCGCCCTTTAGCCCCCAGGAAGATTCCTGGTACTCATTTCTCTTAGAGGCCGAGTCGACCGTTGAGCCACAGTGTGTCTGGAAAGTTTAGGTCAACTGAAAAATCCAATGACCTCATCGGGAATCGAACCCTCGACCTTCCGGCTTGTAGCATAGTGCCTCAAGCAACTACGCTACCGCGTGCCCCCAAAATATATAAATTAGTAGTTATTTTTGTACTATATTACTATTTTTGTTCCAGTTATGAACAAGACTGGAAATCGACGTGGACGCATGTAAATTCGTCGTTTTCCACTGATTTGAGAAGTAACTGTCATTCGCAACGAAACGTATGGACGAGTCCCCTAACCTGAATTTTAATAATTTCAATGATAATGTGTGTTTATCATTTCCGAAGTCTTTCCTACTGACCTTGAACGTCTAAACACTTCTGAAAAGCCGTTAGGAACTTTTTTTTTTGGGTACTTTCGGCTTTTGGAGAAGACAGTGGTTGTTAAGTGAACAGAGAAATCATGTAGCAAAATTGCAAATTTTAATATATATTTTTTTTACAACTGCGTTGTTTCAATTGAAAGCATTACTGAGTGTTGAAAAAGTGACAGATCTATGCTACGTTGTGGCTACACGATTACGGCGCGCGGACCCTAGAATAGCCTGGATATATGTGAACTTTAAGCGGCCTCCGTAGTCTAGGGGTAACGTTCCCACCTCATGACTCAAGGTACGCGGGTTCAAACCCGGCGGAGGTCGTGGAATTTTTAAGGGCGGAAAAATTCAGGCAACAGTCCTCCGGGAGGGACTTTAAACCGTGTGTCCCGTGTCGTAGCTTTACGCCACGTAAAAGAACCTCATGTCTCTAGGAGACCTCTGAGCTAAATTACAGGCCCTTTCCCGCCCAAGTAGTCTCCAATGCCTCTGGTGGATGGGCGAAGCATCAAGGTACCGGGGGCCGACCTTGTTGGCTCTACGGGGGCTGATGGCACGCACCGTTACCGGTAGGATATGGCGACAGTAGAAATTAAAGGGGAACGCACAATGGACCAATAACTGGTCTAAGTGCATGGGGAAACCCACCCCCCTCTCAATACGAATACGAAATATGTGAACTTTTCTTATCTGTCAATCGTACCCACCTGCCTGGGGAGTTCTGCCTTGGAATGTTCCTCATTACCGTGTTCATGGCTTTTACGGGAGTTTTTCTTTTACGGGAGTTTTTACTACGCTGTCAGTGTCTAATGACAGGATGACTGGTGTACTGGAAAAGACGTGGAGGGAATCGGTAATGGCCTGATCGAGGTACTATCCCGGAATTTTCACGAAAGGACTGAGGACAACCAACGAAAACCTCACATTAGCTGATGTGCGGGCAAGATTTGATCCCAGCACCTCCTGAATACGAGTCTACAGCGTTGCCGCTATCTCGACGCATTCGAATTTACTGTTTCAATTCTCACTCATTGCGAATTCATCCGTTTGTTTCATGTTGATGATGTTTATTCAAAAATACCAGCGTGAAATAAGTGAATATAGCCAGAAATATTACAATTTAGCGTCATGTTGTGTGTGTGAAATTTATTTATTTTATTCCGTCACCACATTAGGAAGCGTGGATACACCACACGTTCGTCGTTTCTTACAAAATGTTTCTGCTCATTAAATCATCATCATCATCATCATCAGGTATTTGACATTTTACATTATCCTGTGTTCGTCTGCTAGTATTCCAGCTTTGATCAATATTTACATATTGGAATACTCCTCTTTTAGTGACATGTATTAAACCAAGAGGAACTGTAAAAGAACATCGATGGAAGAGACACATTTACACAAAACTACGACTTCCAGACAAACCTTCTATATACTTTTAATTTTAATTATTTAATATTTTTACAATATTATCGCGTGATGGAGTGGCTGTGACCGACCGAGCGACCGCGGCTTGTCGGCGAAGTTACTGCCAACTTTAGCGGATAGAGGGTGTCGCGTGGTCAGGGTACGAATCCCCACGGCCGTTAATCTCGTTTTTCTAGACCGGAGTTTTATTATTAACACCTGGTACTTTGCCTTCCTTTCTTGCATTCTGATTTCTCCAAAACCCAGGAGGAGATGATACTTGCATAGTTCCCTCCCGCGTGCGCTGAGTATTTGAAATTGAATCCTGTAATTAGAATCGCTAGGAAGGAGATATCATTAAATGAATTTAATTAAATTAAAGAATAGAAACTGAAATGAGGGAATGAATTTCGAATAATGGGAGAATGGAATTCAGTAAAATAACTTCCTCTATAAACGCAGCACACTCGTGGGCGCAAATTAAGACAAAGGCGAATTTTAGCAAAATGAAAAAAAAAAAAAAAATTAACGGGTCTTTCTCATACAAATGCACGATTTTCTGAACCATTTCTCAGTTTAGTATTAAAGAGGGAAGAGTGGAATATATACATTTTAGCTTTCAAGTAGTGTAGTCACCGAGTGGCGTGTGGAAGTGTTAAAGGATATGTGAACGATAATTATTTATGAGTATGTGACTGTGTAGGATGGCATACATATGCGCGAGCGCATATGTATGCCATCCTCTGGCGATGAATTATTTCCGTTTCAAATATGAAATTAAAATGATCGTAGGAGGATAATAAAATACATCTCACCATTGTGTTGGATTCGAAGTTCACACAGCTGTGGTTGTGAAGAGTGCGATGTTTCGGGTTGTAACAGCTTGTAATTCAGTAGAAGTCCACCGACGTTTCGAAAGAACGTATTGCCTCCATCTCAGGGGTCGGTAGTAAACCAAGCAAGAAACCAGGAATAAGAAGGTTGCTTGCCGCACTATTATGGTCCATTATTTTCGGGGAAGACAGATTTAAATATAGGGAAGTGTTGTGATTTTTCTTATCCCTAGGTTAATTAATGTGTAGTAATTTGATGCAGGATATCTCGACTATGGGACCGCCTCTGTGATCTAGTGGTCAGAGTTCCTGGCTACAGATCCAGAGGTCAGGGTTCGATTCCCGGCGCTACCAGATTTTCTGAGATGTAGTGGGTCTGGAACGGGGTTCATTCAGCCTCGTAGGGATAATTGAAGAGCTATTTCAAGGAAATAGAAGACCGAAATTAACGGCCGAGGGGATTCGCTGCGCTGACCACACGACACCACCCTCTATCCGCTAAAGTTGGCACTAACTTCACCGACGAATGGCGTCGCTCTGTCGGTGTAGTTCGCTTGCGGACTAGAGCCACGGAGTTTTTTAGTTCAACTATGATAATGTAGCAGCCGGTCATGGTAGCCGAGCGGTCTAAGGCATGCACTGTCTTCGCTCGCTCGGAAGCCGAGATCGTGGATTCGAATCCCACTCAGGGCATGAATGTTTGTGTGCGTCTTTCTGTGTTTGTCTACAGGTATAGGCCTTGCGACGAGCTGATCGCTCGCCCAAGGAGTCCTACCGTATGTGTAAGATCTTGAAAAACCGAAGTGAACGGAGAAGTTCATGGAGGTAGGCATAGGCCCACTGGGGCTGTAGTGCCAAGGAAAAATGATAATGTAGCAGGATATTCTTGCCGACTCCTATGCTGCAGATTCTCTATCTTTTAGCAACTTCCAAATTGTACGTCAGGGTGTAGCACATATCATGGAAGAATTTTAACTCTACATTTCGTCAAAAGATGGCAGACGTTACATTTTTGGTTACAGTATCCGGGAACTTCACCGTAGTAGACATGGCGGGTATGAACTTTCGTGAATGACGGTAATTGTGATAGAATTATTGCCAGGAAGTTGTGTATATTGTGATTCCTAAAGTTTAACAACGCAGTTTGATGTCGTATAAAATTTAATAAAGTTAAAAATGCAGAATGTAGCACAAGGATCCACTTCAGATAACCAAAATCCCGAAAAAGTGAACGTTCAACACGATATAGGGAAATCGTCGACTCCCATATCATCCAACTCGAGCCCGACGAAGTCAGAAACTGAGACATTTTCAGAATTACAACCAAGATTTATGACCGATTCATCGGAAAGTGAAGAGGAGGACGTGTCTGAGGTAATACTGTCGTATTCTGTAAAATTTATTGATATATGGGTGGCCTCGAGGAGACCCAGGTTTCAATGAACTTCGCCGAGAGACATCTTGTGGCATAGTATTGTCCAGAAGACAATGTAGGCCTAGTCGAGGAAGGAAACTAGCAAAATTTCGCAATTGCCACAAGTTTTATAAAGACAGAGCATATAACATTTCCATGAAGCCGTACTTAAGAGTTTAATGTGAAGTGAAATAATTCAAGTACGTTTATTATACGAAATGAATCGGGTAAGAGCTTGTGTAAAGAAAAATGAAAGGTCGAGTGGTATTCTTATTAATGTTAGGCCTATTTGAATTGTTTTATTTCTATATTTTGTGTTAATTGCTAGTGAAAATGTATATCTATGGAGAAAGTGCAACCGTAAAGATGGATTGTTTGATTATCGTTCTGTATAATACCAATCTGTGAAATGTAAGTTCTTTCTTAGACCGTGCAGCCATGTAAGCTCAGTGGCAAAGTGCAGACACTTCCTGTGCAATGCAGACATAACCAATTTAGCAAAAATCATTGTAATATACGTAAGTATGAAGATAAGAGTTGTTTATGGAGAGCAGATAGTTGAATCAGTGTAGCCAGGAAAGTAAATTAAAACTTCTAAAAAAAACGCGAATTACCTAAGTAAAAAGTACTAATTTCATGGGGGTTATAATTGATAGGAACATGAGCTAGGAAATTTATGTTGAAAGAACCTTCAGTAGAATTAGCCATAACCTATTTATAATTAGTAAGACTATCGAAAATACTTGATGAAGGTGTAAGAGGAATGTTGTGTTATGATTTGATCTAATGCCTTCTGTCGTATGGAAAAGTATGGAGACAGAGTGCCAAGGCACCCACTTGACGAATATTTATACTTCAAGGAATGGCTATAAGGTAAGCTGCAGGGTTAAAACAGTTGGAGTCATGCAGAGATAAGTTTTAGGCATCTAAAGATGTTAGGGTATACTCAATATACATACAAGAAACTTTTTTATACGCAAAAGAGAAGTGTAACTGTGTTGTAAATAAACAAGTATATATAACACAAGAAATAATGACTGTACATAATTTATGACTTTATAACAGTAAACCATTGGTAGCAGGTTGTCTCTTCAATAACAACATAAAACAAGTAGGTGACATCATCCATTTTAAAAAGGAACTGAAGGGCTTCTTAATAAGGGATGCTAGTATTCAATAGAAGATTATCTGAGTGAACATTTCTTGAATATCCACAACTGATAAGCAGATGTATAGAATATGTTATGTTTCTAATATGTTTATATTTATAATCATTGTATGTCTGCAGTTGTACAATATATAGTGACATATCCTATATCAGTGTAGTAGATCAACAGGTTGGATGAAAAATTAATAAATACTTGAGTAAATAAAGCGTATTTGAAGGAAGTGCAGTTTATTGAAGTGGGGAGTATTTTCATCAGGTGGTGGAAATTTGTAACTCAAATTTCAGTTAAAAGGGCCATGTAAGAATTTGATATCACAGAATGATGACTGTTCCGAACTTTTGATTGCATTTAAAATGAATAATAGGCCACAGAACTAAAGGAATATGAAATTTATGATCATTGATACTAGGTGAATTCATGGTAGTGGTAACATGATACTGGCTTTTGTTCATAACTTTGCAGTTTGCTAAATAAATTTAAGAGAGAATGTGTTCCTTATAATGTATCTAAATTGGCCTTGTGTATAGGTTGTAGATTGTTATGGCCATATGAAAGGGGGTTCATCATTATAGTATATATGACTTCAGAAGTCTGAGTGAAACTGAACACCTGGAACTCAATGAAACCTGTATCATCATTCTTTCTGAGAACACTGTCGAATCTAAAATTACATTAAAAGAATCGTTTTATTCTGCACAAGAATGGTATAATAATAATAGTAATTAACTTACATTGGGTAATGTTCATTATTCATGATAACTTTTAGACCAAGATTTTAAATTGTATATAATACAGTTAATATTGTTTCTTTTGTAAGATGGAAGTGTAATAGAAAAAACATACATTAATCAGAAGATAAATGGTGGGCTTCAAGACAGAAAATTAAGATAATAGGCTCAGCAAAAATGGAATTAGGATGTGAAAGTAATGGCAGTGTAGAGATTTCTACAAATTGATAAATGGTAAAATGAATGAATTTTACATTCTGGGATGGGGGCTGGGAACTAGAATGGTTCAGTTGTATAAGACGAAGCTAGAATGATCAGAGTTTGGATTGGTAAGTGTAAAATTGACCGATTTTAACACTAGGTTAGAGACGGTGTATATACCATCACCATGTTGTAAAGTTGTTTCAGCTTACATTTTATTAACTGTTGTCTGTGTTTTCTCCATTCATATTGAAATAAATGTAAATTTGGAAGCCACTTTCTAATTTAGGTCCTTGTAAAAAGGATAATAATAATATAATTGTAATAAGCCCTGAAGGCTCATAGGGGTGTGAGAGGTCAAGGCTCCCATGTCTTCTAGACAGTCAGCTCACAGATGAATGTAGACACTTGTAGGCTTGGGTTATAACCATGGAATGGCAAGACATCAAGGATTCATTGATGTATGATTTTAGTCGTGACAGAATAAGCTCTTTTCCATGGTCACATTCAGTTTTAAATACTGCTATATGTTAATGTAGATGCTTCAGAGTAGATAAGCAGCTTCAGTTGATCTTTTGAGTAGTATGAATGTACCTTTGCTTTCACATCAGAAGTGCTGCTTGGAGTATGAATGTATCCATACAATTTCTGTGATCCATAGAGTGTGAATATACTGTAGCTTATCATTTTGACTGTAAAATTGTGAAGCTTACTGTGAAAGAAATAGGAATAAACTCACTCTAACAGTGTTTCCTGACCAAAACCCCTTCTTGAAGGGGTTACTGGAAGTGAAAACATTCAGGGCCATGTTTATTCAGGGTATGCAAAAGAAATAAATCCAATATTGGAATGAAATTTGACCAGCATTTCACACCTGGTTGGTTCAATTCAATTCAATTTTATTTCATCCATGAATCATTATACATGATATGGGACAAGTCAAAGATTAATATTAATACTAATACTAATACTAAATAGTAATAAGAATATAATAATACAGAAATAGTATGCCAAATTATAATAAATGATGATAATAATAATAATAAAAATAATAGTAATAATATAGTAATATTAGACTATTGTGACTTCTTTCATATTATAGAAACAACTGATTATGACAGCCCTAAGCTGTGAGTGACATTTGAAATATTGCAAATGATCCATTGCCATGGTAATAGCATTCTTCCTCAGGTGTCCCAGATCATCTCTCCTCATTCAAGTTGACCTGAGAGAAAATTAAACATTTGAGTGCATGTTCTAGCTATGTGTGCTGTGTACACTTTACTAGCTTCAGTATGTACTCAAGACTGTTTTATGTTCATTTTAATACCTATTTTTTGACAATATTGTATGCATGTGGCATCAGTCGTACACCATTATAACCCAGCAGAGTGGTTATGTCTCCTTATAAACAGCCTGCCTAACAAAAGAATAATTATAACCAACTTCATTTCTATCATGTGGTGCAGACAATGGTTTTGTTGGATCATAATGCTGAAATATTATGTGTTGTCCTCACACTGACCACACATCAGCTTGAGCTAGGTTGTTCATACAGTTAGTAGTCCATATGAGAGTTGTTCAGAGAAATTTCCTTAGGGGGAAAGGAGCCCAATTTTGCACCCTTTCTACAGTGACCCAGTTACAGGTTTTACAGTTAAGGAATCGGGGTTTGTTTCCTGGCAAGGGAACATAGATTTTACTCTTCTCCGCAGCATGTAGAAGAGCCAGGATAGCATAGTCGGTATAGCGACTGGCTACTGGTTGGACAACCAAGGGGTCAGTGTTTGAGTGCTGATGGGGGCAAGAATTTTCACTTTTCCATGTCCAGACCAGCTCTGGAATCCACCTAACCTCCTATCAAGTACAGGGGGGTAAAGTGGCCAGGGCCTGAAGCTAACCACTCACCTGCAACTAGTGCTGAGGTCAAGAAAATATGGGTGTATACTACATTCACTCCCCCATACGCCTTCAAGACATAGTGCTTAATTAGTTGAGTACAAAGGAAACTTTACCTTTACCTTACCACATTGTGTAGACTGGGCTGTGGCACTGAACCAGTCTCCTGTCTAGTGGGTATGGGGCCACTTTCCCTGGGAGTAAAGCAGCGGGGCATGAAGCTAATAATTATTCCCACCTAGTGCAGAGGTTAAGAATGCAGGGGGATGTATCTGCTCTCTGTCATATACCTTTATGGTGTGGTGTTTCAGTAAGCACCTTTATTCCAAAACATTTTCTGTTCTTATTTTTGTCAGTTTCAAGTATGGTTCCAACAAGATTAGTATCCAGTGTAAGACAGTTGCATGTGAAAAATGGGTAATGTTCCTCACATGACAGTTAAAGATAAAATGATGTCTTAGTAATCAGTGCTCCTGTATGTATTTCTTATACAAATATATATTTCCCTTGGACAGTAAAGCAGCCAGAGTGTCTGGCATGCAATGCTGTGATATAGAGTGCATACAGCTGTGCCCATCTGCACTTTTTATGCTTTCATTGTATGGTAACTTAGGTACAGGAGCAACTTTTCTGTACCATATGGATACACTGCCTAACAGCGTCTGAACCCTTTTCGAGATTTTGATCCATACTACCTTCTCCATTTTTCTTTCTTATATGATCATGTAATAAAATTATAAAATGAATGTTACTTCCTGATAAAAATATCAGTCCTTTCTTGACCTCAAGCAAAGTAATTGTATTAGTGGGACAAATTACCCAAATGAGGTTTCTGAAAGAAAGTAGATATTGTAGATTTAAAATTTTTTTCAAATGATCTGAGATGCTGGAGGACAGGGCCCAGTTCTGATATTTTATGAACATGGTGGTAAATCTTTGGTTCAGTAAAAATGTGAAATGGAA